GAGTATACCGGGAGAGGGTTTCGGGGGTCAACACCCCCGCGGACCAGTCTGTGACCAGGGCTCATGGTGGATCAGGGCCTGATGAGCTGTTGAAGGAGGAGACAGGCATGATCAGGAAAGGAGTGCCCATTGGGTTGGGTTTCAGAAAATGGGAGAAGGAAGGTGACAGAACTTGTTCCACAAGACAGTCACGCAGAAAGCGAAGCTAAGTCTTACGACGCGTGGTAGCAATACGAGCAGCCTCATGAGAACGAAAGAGGGACTTAATAGAAGGAAGAATATTAAATAAGTTGGAAAGAATAAGACGCTTAACTGCGGGGTTTATAAATAACAAAATGGGGCACAATACCGTGACTGGAACAATACACAAATAACCCGCACATAGAAGAGAGGAGCATACGACGACGGTTCGGTCCGACTTGGACCATTTACAAAGTCACACTAACGAAAAGAAGAGCAGGATGGGTATATATAGGCAGGAGATGGTAGTAGTAGTAGTAGTAGCAGTAGTGGTAGTAGTGGAGGGAAGGAAGTAGTCGTGGAGAGGTAGTAAGAGTAGGAGGAGCCAGTCAAATACTAAGAAAGAGAAGCACTGCACGGGAGCTGGTGCCCACAGAGGGTAAGATCAAGAACACCGAGGGAGGTTATTTGTTTATTGTTCCAGTCACGGTATTGTGACTTTTTGTGTGTGTGTGTGTATTACTGGGAGGACTTCCGTCCCAGCAACAACAGCAGTCACCAGCAGTGCTACTGCTAGAGTAAATTTTATAAGCAGGAACTATGGCAGGACGAGGGATACGCACCGTGACAGGAGAGAGATATCCAACGTGATAGGTGAGGGATACCCACCGTGATGGGTGAGGGATACCCAATGTAATAAGTGAGGGATACCCACCGTGATTGGTGAGGGATACCCAATTTAATAAGTGAGGGATACTGTCCGTTTTGTGTAATGGATAGGATACCCACCACGATGGGGAAGGAATGCCCAACGTGATGGGTGCGGGATACCCGCCGTGATGGGTGAGGGATACCCACCCATCACTGTACCCACACACTCAGATATTTTCTTAAATTTATCCTATTCTTTGCTCCAGTTTTTCTTGTGTGGTCGTGAGTCTGTTTCCAGTTTCTCTTGCATGTTCCTGGGTAGTATTCTTGACTGGTGGTGAACCTGCCTGTTCCTGGGTAGTATTCTTGACTGGTGGTGAACCTGCCTGTTCCTGGGTAGTATTCTTGACTGGTGGTGAACCTGCCTGTTCCTGGGTAGTATTATTGACTGGTGGTGAACCTGCCTGTTCCTGGGTAGTATTCTTAACTGGTGGTGAACCTGCCTGTTCCTGGGTAGTATTCTTGACTGGTGGTGAACCTGCCTGTTCCTGGGTAGTATTCTTAACTGGTGGTGAACCTGCCTGTTCCTGGATAGTATTTTCTTGACTGGTGGTGAACCTGCCTGTTCCTGGGTAGTATTCTTGACTGGTGGTGAACCTGCCTGTTCCTGGGTAGTATTCTTAACTGGTGGTGAACCTGCCTGTTCCTGGGTAGTATTCTTGACTGGTGGTGAACCTGCCTGTTCCTGGGTTTAGTATTCTTGACTGGTGGTGAACCTGCCTGTTCCTGGGTAGTATTGTTAACTGGTGGTGAACCTGCCTGTTCCTGGGTAGTATTCTTGATTGGTGGTGAACCTGCCTGCTCCTGGGTAGTATTCTTAACTGGTGGTGAACCTGCCTGTTCCTGGGTAGTATTCTTAACTGGTGGTCAACCTGCCTGTTCCTGGGTAGTATTCTTAACTGGTGGTGAACCTGCCTGTTCCTGGGTAGTATTCTTAACTGGTGGTGAACCTGCCTGTTCCTGGATAGTATTTTCTTGACTGGTGGTGAACCTGCCTGTTCCTGGGTAGTATTCTTAACTGGTGGTGAACCTGCCTGTTCCTGGGTAGTATTCTTGACTGGTGGTGAACCTGCCTGTTCCTGGGTAGTATTCTTAACTGGTGGTGAACCTGCCTGTTCCTGGGTAGTATTCTTGACTGGTGGTGAACCTGCCTGTTCCTGGGTAGTATTCTTGACTGGTGGTGAACCTGCCTGTTCCTGGGTAGTATTCTTAACTGGTGGTGAACCTGCCTGTTCCTGGGTAGTATTCTTAACTGGTGGTGAACCTGCCTGTTCCTGGGTAGTATTTTGACTGGTGGTGAACCTGCCTGTTCCTGGGTAGTATTCTTGACTGGTGGTGAACCTGCCTGTTCCTGGGTAGTATTCTTGACTGGTGGTGAACCTGCCTGTTCCTGGGTAGTATTCTTGACTGGTGGTGAACCTGCCTGTTCCTGGGTAGTATTCTTAACTGGTGGTGAACCTGCCTGTTCCTGGGTAGTATTCTTGACTGTTGGTGAACCTGCCTGTTCCTGGGTAGTATTCTTGACTGGTGGTGAACCTGCCTGTTCCTGGGTAGTATTCTTGACTGGTGGTGAACCTGCCTGTTCCTGGGTAGTATTCTTAACTGGTGGTGAACCTGCCTGTTCCTGGGTAGTATTTTCTTGACTGGTGGTGAACCTGCCTGTTCCTGGTAGTATTCTTAACTGGTGGTGAACCTGCCTGTTCTGGGTAGTATTTTCTTGACTGGTGGTGAACCTGCCTGTTCCTGGGTAGTATTCTTAACTGGTGGTGAACCTGCCTGTTCCTGGGTAGTATTCTTAACTGGTGGTGAACCTGCCTGTTCCTGGGTAGTATTCTTAACTGGTGGTGAACCTGCCTGTTCCTGGGTAGTATTTTCTTGACTGGTGGTGAACCTGCCTGTTCCTGGGTAGTATTCTTAACTGGTGGTGAACCTGCCTGTTCCTGGGTAGTATTCTTAACTGGGTGGTGAACCTGCCTGTTCCTGGGTAGTATTTTCTTGACTGGTGGTGAACCTGCCTGTTCCTGGGTAGTATTCTTAACTGGTGGTGAACCTGCCTGTTCCTGGGTAGTATTTTCTTGACTGGTGGTGAACCTGCCTGTTCCTGGGTAGTACTTTCTTGACTGGTGGTGAACCTGCCTGTTCCTGGGTAGTTCTTTCTTGACTGGTGGTGAACCTACCTGTTCCTGGGTAGTATTTTCTTGACTGGTGGTGAACCTGCCTGTTCCTGGGTAGTATTCTTGACTGGTGGTGAACCTGCCTGTTCCTGGGTAGTATTCTTGACTGGTGGTGAACCTGCCTGTTCCTGGGTAGTATTTTCTTGACTGGTGGTGAACCTGCCTGTTCCTGGGTAGTATTCTTGACTGGTGGTGAACCTGCCTGTTCCTGGGTAGTATTCTTGACTGGTGGTGAACCTGCCTGTTCCTGGGTAGTATTTTCTTGACTGGTGGTGAACCTGCCTGTTCCTGGGTAGTATTTTCTTGACTGGTGGTGAACCTGCCTGTTCCTGGGTAGTATTCTTAACTGGTGGTGAACCTGCCTGTTCCTGGGTAGTATTCTTGACTGGTGGTGAACCTGCCTGTTCCTGGGTAGTATTCTTAACTGGTGGTGAACCTGCCTGTTCCTGGGTAGTATTCTTAACTGGTGGTGAACCTGCCTGTTCCTAGGTAGTATTCTTAACTGGTGGTGAACCTGCCTGTTCCTGGGTAGTATTCTTAACTGGTGGTCAACCTGCCTGTTCCTGGGTAGTATTCTTGACTGGTGGTGAACCTGCCTGTTCCTGGGTAGTATTCTTGACTGGTGGTGAACCTGCCTGTTCCTGGGTAGTATTCTTGACTGGTGGTGAACCTGCCTGTTCCTGGGTAGTATTCTTGACTGGTGGTGAACAGGTTACAGGCAGCCGACAGGCTTTAGACCCAACTAACCAACCAACCTTGCTAGCCACAGAGCTACTGATCTCTCTCTCTCCGTACTTGGTCTGTGGTGCTTTCTCTGCTCTGTCGCTGATCTGCGCTCTGACACTGGTCTGTGGTCTGTCGCTGGTCTGCGCTCTGACACTGGTCTGTGGTCTACTACTGGTTTGATCTATGTATGTTGGTGTTGGATCTTGGTCTCAGACCTCTATGGTATTATGCTGTATGATGTTGATCTCTGGTCTGGCACTGTCATTATATGCTCGCTTACACACCCGGCTGGTTCTCCTGGCTGCTGTTGCTTGCTTCTGTGTGCCCAATGTCCAGTCTTGATACCCAAGGTGACCTGTTTTGATACCCAAGGTGACCCAAGGTAACCAGTTTTGATACCCAAGGTGTTCAGTTTTAATACCCAAGATGACCAGTCCTGATATCCAAGGTGACCAGTCTTGGTACCTGCAGTATACCTGGAGAGGGTTTCGGGGACCAACGCCCCAGCGGCCCGGTCTGAGACCAGGCCTCGTGGTGGACCAGGGTCTGGTCAACCAGGCTGTTACTGCTGGCTGCACTTAAACCGACGTACGAACCACAGCCCGGCTGATACCCAAGGTGACCAGTTTTGATACCCAAGGTGACCAGTTTTGATACCCAAGGTGACCAGTCTTGATACCCAAGGTGACCAGTCTTGATACCCAAGGTGACCAGTCTTGATACCAAAGGTGACAAGTTTTGGTACCCAAGGTGATCAGTTTTGGTACCCAAGGTATCCAGTTTTGGTACCCAAGGTGACCAGTTTTGGTACCCAAGGTCTTTAACTTCAGCCTATGTAAGCTTTGGATTTGCAGTGTTATAACTGGTTGGAATTTCTAACTGCATTACCGTGGTTTCCAGGATTCCCTCTACTTAACGAGGATCAGAATGGTTAATGAGAAGTATTAAAATGTTCCACTTCGTTTACAGAGGATTCAAAGGCTGTATAACGGCTTACGAGAGCTTCCTGTGCGCTTGGTATATAAGGGTTTGCGCTACTCTCCCCTGCATAATATAACCTATCAACTCAGGATTAATATCCTTAAAGGCTCCTTAGCTGCCTCAAGACAACAGTAGAAGATGATGATCATCCTTATCATTATGATGATAATGATGATGATTTTGCTCGGATTAGTAACCCAGGATAATCCAATAAAACTGTGTCATCAGACTGCCTGGCTTGCATCCATCGCCCACCTTTCACCAGCGGTGCCCGGCCCGTGCGTACCTCTACACTTTCAGTGGTAGCCAGCGTGAAATGCAGAAATTTAGATCTCGTCAAGCGTACAAAAAGTGGCGTGGGCAGCCGAGGCTTTCTCTCTGCAACCTGTTCTATTCAGCTCTCTAATCTTACTCGCTTTTTTCACTGTCACTATCTCTCTTTTTATTACCATCCGTATAAACTTTACACATACACACACACATATTTACGCACACATATATACATTTATTATTATTATTATTATTATTATTATTATTATTATTATTATTATTATTATTATTGGGAAGCTCTTCTAAACCCATAGGGGTTATAAATGCATTCAACGGATCGTCTTGTGACTTGCCCTTGACAAACATTAACAGGTGTGTCTTGTGTTGCAGGTGTTGGCCGCGGCTGCGGCAGCGACTAGCGTGGAAGCAGAGGAACACCGGTCGATACGCCTCAGGAGAAGTATCGGTTCCTGGTTCTCTGACTTCTTCAAGAAGTGGAAGGAATCTGACGACGACTACGATGAGGAGGAGGTGATTACTGTGCCGGTCATCCGTCCCATCTACCAGCCTCCCGTTAAGTCTTACTACCCGCCTCCAGCGCCTCCGATCAAGCCTTCGTACGGCCCTCCGCTCCTCCCTCCCTCTTCCTACGGACGTGGCCACGTTAATGGAGGCTTCGGAGGTGGCGGCAGCTTTAACGGAGGTTTCGGAGGTGGTGGTCCCTTTAAGGGAGGATTTGGAGGGGGCGGAGTAGGCATCCCCATACAGGGAGGCTATGGTGGAGGCGGAGGACAATTCAAGGGAGGTATTGGAGGTGGAGGTGGTGGATTCGGCGGCCCCATCAAGGGAGGTATTGGAGGAGGAGGTGGTGGATTCGGCGGCCCCATCAATGGAGGATTTGGAGGAGGCGGCGGCCACTTCAAAGGAGGCATTGGAGGAGGTGATCCCATCAAGGGAGGCTTCGGAGGTGGTGGAGTCGGAGGTGGCTTCAAAGGAGGCGTTGGAGGTGGTGGCCCCATTAAGGGAGGCTATGGAGGGGGTATAGGAGGCGGTGGTCACTTTAAGGGAGGCCACGGAGGTGGCGGTCACATTAAGGGGGGACATTCCAAAGGACTTCCACACGACTTTGGTCCGGTAAAAGACTCGGATGTGGTTCATATTGGAGGAGGCTCCTTCTTGCCACCAGCACTGCCAGCAGGTGGCTACTCTTCTCCTGCTGACAGTTATGCCGCACCTCCTGCTCCAGTTAACAGTTATGTCCCTCCAGTCATTGATATCTACGGTCCTCCTAAACCCATTGATTCCTATGCTGCATTGCCTACAGTTAGTACCTCCTACAGTTCAGTAGGGGTGCCAGTGGCTCCTCTGGGTCCTGGGAAAGACCTAATCAGCGAGTTTCGTTCCCTTCCCTCCTTCCCTCTTCCCATGGCAGAGCACGGCTCCTCTTCCTCATCTTACCTCGAAGGTTTCCACCCATCACAGCCCCTTGCTGCGGAGCATGTTGGTGCAACAGGCGCCTTGATAGGAAAAGAAGTTCGTGCACCGCTACGCCCTCTCTACGACCTTCCCTCTGATTCAAAGCTCAACCTCGGTGGATCTGCTCTGCCTCTCGCTGGTGGCTTTGACGCCCTTGGCAGTGGCAAAGGAAGTATTGGAGAAGGTTTTGGAGCTTCCGTAGGATTAAAAGACCAACATTCATCATCTACAGCGTCACTGACGTACGGGGCTGAGCTGGGCTACGACGATCCTATCATTGAGATCATTTTCCAAGACGGAGAACCAGCACCTCCACCACCTCCACCTGTCATAGATCCAGAAGTGTTCGCATTGCCAGAAGAACCCGTTGAAGTTTATTTCATTGAATACTCCCCAGGAGACAACATTGATGACCTTGGTGCTCTGAACTTAGAGGGTGCCAAGCCAGGTATCTTGCATGATTTACCTGAGGAACTGCCCATTGATGTTCGCTCTCATCTGTTGGACTCTGGAGTCCTGGATAACGCTGAGATCCAAGTTATTAATTTAGATGACGCCTTAACTAAGGGTTTTCTAGACCAGAACACCAGACAAGCTCTGGAAGCTGTGTATGCCTCTGAGAGCCGCATTGATGAAACGAAAGTTGATGCACCATCTAAAGAAGGTGTCAACATCAGAGTTCACCGTCTGATGAATGAAGACGGTACACCTAAAGGAGTGGCTGAGTTACTCTCTGGTTTAGGCAAGTACCGCGAGGGTCGCTTTGCTGGGCTTGTAGAAGCTAATGACGAAGGTTCAAAAAAATTCATTCCAGTAATAGTTGATGGAGATAAACTACCCTTACCAAACCATCCTGGGCTAGAGGGACGCGAAGTGGCTGGGGTTCTTGTGTTAGCACCCACTGATAAGAAGAACCAAACGTCAGAGCCCCCAGCCAACACCAGCAGCCCAGAACACAACCTGGTAGAGTCGGCGTCAAATCCACAGCCAGTAGTGGCAGCGGCAGGCGCCATTGAAGAACGAGCGGACAGGGAATGGAACGGTGACCCCAACGGCTGGCGTCCCGTCTGGGACTGACCTATCTACCATTAACAAGGCATCCGAACTTGACCTCTCCTCTCCCTCCCCATTGCTCCTCGATGGTTTATATTTCCATCTGAGAGTGAGCTTCTCAGGACAGGGAACGTTAGAGTATAACAATGCAGTCTGAGACTCTTATACCCTCACTAAGTTTAGGGTCCGGCAAACGGGAGCTCCCCAGCCGACGCATCGCGAGACTCAACTGTCGTCAATTTACATATTTCGTAGCGAGGGCATTGCCCTCACCAAAGAAAACAAAGAATTTTGTGAAATATCTTTCTTTCGAGTTGTTGAGTGCTGCTTAGCTTTACTCTACTTACTTAAGCTGTACATATGTTGCTTTGATAGATTTACTGAACATATCTTGTTTAGGATTAAGTATATTTTTAGCCAGGATTAAAATGAATTAGTTTTCCGAGGATAAGTACAGGAGAGAAGTTTCCCCACATCTCAGGATCATCAGTGTTGTGTACATACTGCCTGCTTAACTTTTCAGCCAGTTCTCTCGCTAACAAGTCGAGGCAAACAAAATTATTGTTAAAAAACAAAATAAATCTTGGGTTTTGATTTTATATTGATCCTAAGACAGGCGTTGTCTGAGCCTCACACTTCCTTTTGTATCGTCTCTCTAAGTATCCTATTTATGTCCTCTCTGGGGCTCTATAGACGCGTGTAACATTGCTCAAGTGACTAGGTCTTCCTGCAGGTAGAATATTGTTATCATCAACAGCAGTTAGTTAGTGTCTCTTGCATCACCATGTTTGATTGTACAGTAATTTTATTATTAAAAGATATCAAAAATAGGCTGTGATATATTTGTCCTTTCGTCACAGCGGTAGAATTTTGTCAGTGTTTTGTGAGTTGATGTATGACTTGTGACCACTGGAGAAGACACTGTGATGTGAGTTAATGTATGACCTGTCACCACTGAAGAAGATATAACAGTGACTTGATTCTGTCCAAGAATTCCTGAAAAAAAAAGATACAAACATGTTCTCCGTAAAGAACTTATTTTTTTTTTATCTTTCTATTTTTTTAAGAGATCAGAAAATGATGTTACTGAACATTCTCAGAAAATTACCAATGATGCTGACGCTGTCAAGATTCCGGAGGCTTCCCCAGCAGGTCACCTACAGAGTGGTGACTGGACTGGTCAGGTCAACACTGGGGGGGGGGAGGGTGACCTGTCCAGGGATCATCCGCTATGTATACTGACCAATGGTACTGACATCACGGTATAACAGTCACAAATCTGACACGAAATGAACAAATCTGATACAATGAACAAATACGACACCGAACGAACATATAAGACACCGAACGAACAAATACGACACCGAACGAACAAATACGACACCGAACGAACAAATACGACACCGAACGAACAAATATGACACCGAACGAACAAATACGACACCGAACGAACAAATACGACACCGAACGAACAAATACGACACCGAACGAACAAATACGACACCGAACGAACAAATACGACACCGAACGAACAAATACGACACCGAACGAACAAATACGACACCGAACGAAAATACGACACCGAACGAACAAATACGACACCGAACGAACAAATACGACACCGAACGAACAAATACGACACTTAACGAGAGAGAGAGAGATGCTCCATGATGTCCATGAAGGGCTCTTGATCCGAGGAAGTGAAGTCATCCTTCTTTTTCCTAAAATTTATTACGTCCTATGCCCCGGGCGCTGTATGACCCCTCCGGGTTTAGCAGATCCCTCTGGAAATAATTATAACAGCAACACCAACATTAATAGTAATAATAATGAAACCAAATTAATAATAACGAGACTTAAACATCAAATAAGTAAAAGATATCCATAGGTAAGAAAAAGATATCCATAGGTAAGAAAAAGATATCCATAGGTAAGTAAAAGATATCCATAGGTAAGAAAAGATATCCATAGGTAAGAAAAAGATATCCATAGGTAAGAAAAAGAATCCATAGGTAAGAAAAAGATATCCATAGGTAAGAAAAAGATATCCATAGGTAAGAAAAAGATATCCATAGGTAAGTAAAAGATATCCATAGGTAAGAAAAAGATATCCATAGGTAAGAAAAAGATATCCATAGGTAAGTAAAAGATATCCATAGGTAAGAAAAAGATATCCATAGGTAAGTAAAAGATATCCATAGGTAAGAAAAAGATATCCATAGGTAAGTAAAAGATATCCATAGGTAAGAAAAAGATATCCATAGGTAAGAAAAAGATATCCATAGGTAAGAAAAAGATATCCATAGGTAAGAAAAAAATATCCATAGGTAAGTAAAAGAATCCATAGGTAAGAAAAAGATATCCATAGGTAAGAAAAAGATATCCATAGGTAAGAAAAAGATATCCATAGGTAAGAAAAAGATATCCGCACGACAGGTGTGGTTGTCACGACAGGTGTGGTTGTTACAACAGTTGTGGTTGTCACGACAGTTGTGGTTGTCACGACAGGTGTGGTTGTCACGACAGTTGTGGTTGTTACAACAGTTGTGGTTGTCACGACAGGTGTGGTTGTCACGACAGGTGTGGTTGTTACAACAGTTGTGGTTGTCAGGACAGGTGTGGTTGTCACGACAGGTGTGGTTGTCACAACAGTTGTGGTTGTCACGACAGGTGTGGTTGTCACGACAGGTGTGGTTGTTACAACAGTTGTGGTTGTCACGACAGGTGTGGTTGTTACAACAGTTGTGGTTGTCACGACAGGTGTGGTTGTCACGACAGGTGTGGTTGTTACAACAGTTGTGGTTGTCACGACAGGTGTGGTTGTCACGACAGGTGTGGTTGTTACAACAGTTGTGGTTGTCACGACAGGTGTGGTTGTCACGACAGGTGTGGTTGTTACAACAGTTGTGGTTGTCACGACAGGTTGGTTGTCACGACAGTGTGGTTGTTACAACAGTTGTGGTTGTCACGACAGGTGTGGTTGTCACGACAGGTGTGGTTGTTACAACAGTTGTGGTTGTCACGACAGGTGTGGTTGCCACGACAGGTGTGGTTGTCACGACAGGTGTGGTTGTCACAACAGGTGTGGTTGCCACGACAGGTGTGGTTGTCACGACAGGTGTGGTTGCCACGACAGGTGTGGTTGTCACAACAGGTGTGGTTGCCACGACAGGTGTGGTTGTCACAACAGGTGTGGTTGCCACGACAGGTGTGGTTGTCACGACAGGTGTGGTTGCCACGACAGGTGTGGTTGTCACGACAGGTGTGGTTGTCAGTGTGTATTTCGGTAAACTGTTATGGGACATGATGTTAAACGTTCAGTGTTCCTAACATGCTCTTAAGAGCTCAGTGTATCCAGTACACTGATCATACATAATACAGTGTATCCACTACATTGATCATACATAATACAGTGTATCCACTACATTGATCATACATAATACAGTGTATCCACTACATTGATCATACATAATACAGTGTATCCACTACACTGATCATACATAATACAGTGTATCCACTACACTGATCATACATAATACAGTGTATCCACTACATTGATCATACATAATACAGTGTATCCACTACATTGATCATACATAATACAGTGTATCCACTACATTGATCATACATAATACAGTGTATCCACTACATTGATCATACATAATACAGTGTATCCACTACATTGATCATACATAATACAGTGTATCCACTACATTGATCATACATAATACAGTGTATCCACTACATTGATCATACATAATACAGTGTATCCAGTACACTGATCATACATAATACAGTGTATCCACTACATTGATCATACATAATACAGTGTATCCACTACACTGATCATACATAATACAGTGTATCACTACATTGATCATACATAATACAGTGTATCCACTACATTGATCATACATAATACAGTGTATCCACTACATTGATCATACATAATACAGTGTATCCACTACATTGATCATACATAATACAGTTTTATCCACTACATTGATCATACTTTAATACAGTGTATCCACTACACTGATCATACATAATACAGTGTATCCACTACACTGATCATACTAATACAGTGTATCCACTACATTGATCATACATAATACAGTGTATCCACTACATTGATCTACATAATACAGTGTATCCACTACATTGATCATACATAATACAGTGTATCCACTACACTGATCATACATAATACAGTGTACCCACTACACTGATCATACATAATACAGTGTATCCACTACACTGATCATACATAATACAGTGTATCACTACATTGATCATACATAATACAGTGTATCCACTACATTGATCATACATAATACAGTGTATCCACTGCACTGATCATACATAATACAGTGTATCCACTACACTGATCATACATAATACAGTGTATCCACTACATTGATCATACATAATACAGTAATAGTAGAGTAGGTAATAGTGCTGGTTGGTGGTGGTAGTAGAGTAGGTAATAGTGCTGGTTGGTGGTGGTAGTAGAGTAGGTAATAGTGCTGGTTGGTGGTGGTAGTAGAGTAGGTAATAGTGCTGGTTGGTGGTGGTAGTAGAGTAGGTAATAGTGCTGGTTGGTGGTGGTAGTAGAGTAGGTAATAGTGCTGGTTGGTGGTGGTAGTAGAGTAGGTAATAGTGCTGGTTGGTGGTGGTAGTAGAGTAGGTAATAGTGTTGGTTGGTGGTGGTAGTAGAGTAGGTAATAGTGTTGGTTGGTGGTGGTAGTAGAGTAGGTAATAGTGTTGGTTGGTGGTGGTAGTAGAGTAGGTAATAGTGTTGGTTGGTGGTGGTAGTAGAGTAGGTAATAGTGTTGGTTGGTGGTGGTAGTAGAGTAGGTAATAGTGTTGGTTCGTGGTGGTAGTAGAGTAAGTAATAGTGCTGGTTGGTGGTGGTAGTAGAGTAGGTAATAGTGCTGGTTGGTGGTGGTAGTAGAGTAGGTAATAGTGTTGGTTGGTGGTGGTAGTAGAGTAGGTAATAGTGTTGGTTGGTGGTGGTAGTAGAGTAGGTAATAGTGTTGGTTGGTGGTGGTAGTAGAGTAGGTAATAGTGTTGGTTGGTGGTGGTAGTAGAGTAGGTAATAGTGTTGGTTGGTGGTGGTAGTAGAGTAAGTAATAGTGCTGGTTGGTGGTGGTAGTAGAGTAGGTAATAGTGCTGGTTGGTGGTGGTAGTAGAGTAGGTAATAGTGCTGGTTGGTGGTGGTAGTAGAGTAAGTAATAGTGCTGGTTGGTGGTGGTAGTAGAGTAGGTAATAGTGCTGGTTGGTGGTGGTAGTAGAGTAGGTAATAGTGTTGGTTGGTGGTGGTAGTAGAGTAAGTAATAGTGCTGGTTGGTGGTGGTAGTAGAGTAGGTAATAGTGCTGGTTGGTGGTGGTAGTAGAGTAGGTAATAGTGCTGGTTGGTGGTGGTAGTAGAGTAGGTAATAGTGCTGGTTGGTGGTGGTAGTAGAGTAGGTAATAGTGCTGGTTGGTGGTTGGTAGTAGAGTAGGTAATAGTGCTGGTTGGTGGTGGTAGTAGAGTAGGTAATAGTGCTGGTTGGTGGTGGTAGTAGAGTAGGTAATAGTGCTGGTTGGTGGTGGTAGTAGTAGAGTAGGTAATAGTGCTGGTTGGTGGTGGTAGTAGTAGAGTAGGTAATAGTGCTGGTTGGTGGTGGTAGTAGTAGAGTAGGTAATATTGCTGGTTGGTGGTGGTAGTAGAGTAGGTAATAGTGCTGGTTGGTGTGTGGTAGTAGAGTAGGTAATAGTGCTGGTTGGTGGTGGTAGTAGAGTAGGTAATAGTGCTGGTTGGTGGTGGTAGTAGAGTAGGTAATAGTGC